TTTTCGGCCTCACAAGTGTAGACGCCTTGGTGATTGGTCTCATCAACACTTTCAATGGAAAGACGCCTTCCAAAGAAAGTGTCAGAAATGATAAACGAGTTCTGTCCATCTGTTATCTTGCGTCCATCCTTCTTCCAAGTAATTTTTGGTGTTGGTCTTACATTAGATAAGAGTAAAACGTCATTAAACTTCGAATCAACCATCAGCGCTAATAGTAACAGCAATGAAATAGTTGACTGTGATCCTTATCTTTCCGATACGGAAAGAGCTGGTAATCGAACAGAACAGTTTGGTTTCTATGGGCGCCTTTTTTAAACGAAATTTACTGGAAGTAAACTGACTCTTCAGTTATTCCAGTTCCGTTGTACCTGCCCACGAAGACTGAGCAATTTTCGTGACAACTCTTGAAAGATTTGCTCTCTACTGTGCTAAAGGTAACATTCCGAGAAAACTAACCTTCCATTTGCAAAGCAATACAAAATCTTGCTCTTTCCTTCTACGGCACTCTCTTTCTCATTTGGGGTTAGTAACCACGAGGGTGAAGTAGAGTTTTCAGAATCTGTGAAAATTTAAAGATATGTTTAAAATAAGGCAACTGGTTTAGTTTTGTTTCATTTGTTTGTTTGTTTGTTTTTGCACCTTCCCTTATGGCGCAGCTAAATTTTCCCGTTTTTAGTTCGCCACTTGAATGCTCTTACTCGAGTCAGAGGTTGGTGAAAGCATGTATGCAGCGAAAACTTCTGGACTAACGCTAACATCTACTCAGTAAATGTTAATAGGTAATTGGCACTGCAGTTGTCGATGGCTTGACCCAAATGGAACGGAGTAACGAGTTTTACACAAGTAAGTGTCCGCTTATGAGAAAGGCGAACATACCACGAGCCTCGGAGAGGTTCTTTTCTACAGTAATGAAAAGGAAGGAAACATAGAGATCACTAGGTTTGCCAACGCCTGCGCACACTTTTCACAAATTCGAGTCAATGCATGGGCCAAGGGTATGTCTTCAGTAGCTACGGAAGCTTTTCTCTGATTTGGTGGCCAGCAGTGACCGATGATATTGGTATACCCCTTAGATGAGATACAGGAATGGTATGCTTTTATTTTAATACAGTTTTAAGGCAGAAAAGATACCTCTACTCGTTTTCTCGATCCTGATTGTGGGGAAAAGAAAGAAATGCAGCACTAGGAAATAACAAATGATATTTTCTTGCTTCTGTATTACCTGTTTGATTTTCATTGATCTTCTCCAATCTCAAGGTCCCAGATCTTTGAAAAAAATTCGCTCCAGAAATGGTACACTTGATGCCATCGTACAATTCAATTTCATCGATGTCTTTTTGCGTTAAATACGTAATATACAAAGTACCATTGCTTAGAATAGACCGACGTTCATTTCTTGCGAATGTGTACGGTGTATTGAAACGGATGTTTCCCCAGCTGTAGACCACCCCATAGCTGTATGAATGAGGTGGACAGTCGTAGTAGAAAGACTCGCCGAGATTTACTTTTACCACGTCATCCTTGGAATCGATGAAGTCGCCAACGACTAGGAGGAAAAGAAATTATGTAAAACGAATTAAAATGTATGGGGAAGAAAAAAGACTGATGGTTTTCTACAGCTAGAGTGACACAGGCGAACTCGAAAGAGGAAATCCCGAGTTCTTCCAACAGGACTCGAGTCGATATCTTACGATTAGTTGTTCGAATGATTATCGCCCAAACTGTAAAAAAACTTTGCAAGTGATAGCTAGGCCGTATATCAAAGTAGCTTCATGGAAAGCTTTTTCAGAGTATAATTGAATAAGCGTGGAGCGAAAAAAAAAACTGAAGTCCTCAACAAGGACGAACCTTTGGCCTTTCGATAACGGCCCAATAAGCAACAAAAGCATTGTTGGCAACCTGGCGAAATAGAGCCAAGGTACGAGAAAATCAACTCGGACTGTCAAACTTAATTCCTAGTTAGCCTGTGCGCTGTCTAGCGCCTGTTACATCTCAGCATTTCATTACGTTTCCTTAACAATTCGTTGACACTCATATATATATATATATACTCGTGTGTGGACAGAAGCACTATGAAGCGTATTTCTTTGCCAGAAGCAAAGCATTATCACCTGGCTAGCCTTCGAGCCAACCCTAGTTGAGGGCGCTGACCACTATGTGAACATCTAGCTCAGAGTTGAAGTCGTTGCAGACCGATCGGACTGCTGATGTGAAATGTTCAACAAGTTATAATACGATTCACATTGGTACCTGTGACCGCGACTTTAAGTTTCCTGCTAAATGCCACAGCGCCAGTGACTTCGTCCTTGACAAAGCACTGGTATGTACCACTGTGGATTGCACGGAGGTTCTTGCCAGTCAAGGTACCATCTTCACTCAGGTCAAAGTGTGAGCTGTCGGTTATAGCTGTCCCATTATGCTTCCAGGTCCACGTTAAGTTGGATCCGGTGGCATTGCAAGGAAGTGTGAAGCTTGGATCTGACTTGAATTTCACGTCCTCTGGTTTAACCAAATCCTCTTTTGGGAAATTTGTTATCACTGGAGGGTTGCCTTGAGCTAAGACACAAGGAACATTCTATGTATTTAAGCTAGCACGTTTTTCTTTGCAAATGCGCTTCTCAAGGAAACTTTGGTGCTTATTTACTAAAAGCAAGAGACTTCTTAAAGAAAATAAATCTCCTCGGGAGTTGAGTTTTCCTTAAAACCCTCAGAATACAGGTTCCTTGTAAGACGTCCTGTTAAGGGAAGTGGCTACCATCTACGTTGCCAAGGAAAGGAATGAGGGCATTGCTGACAGGAGCAACTTCTGGTAATTATTAAACTTTACAGTCTGGTGTTAGGGCACCTTGCGTATGAGCTTGAGAAAGAGATTCCGGTGGAAGTCACTTATAAAATGGTCGTATGAGCAAAATTCAAATGCTAGCCCTTGCAAGACGAACCAGAAGAGACGTTGCAAATTTAAAAATTTGATTTACATATATTCAGTTTTCGGCTACTGAACTACAGTGTACTGGACCATTTAGAATGATAACAAAATTGATCTAATTGTGAAAATAATATCAGCATCAGATACAAACAAATTACTTTGATTTACCTGGGACTAGGACTGCCAGTGCGATCAAAATCCAAATAGGCTCTGTCCACATTTTTCAGTGGCGGGTTGTCTGTAGAAATATAACAACATTTCAGAATTTGTTTTTCTTTCAGCTGAAAGACAGTGATCTCAGAACAGATGCAAGTGATTAAGATGTTATGAAGTGTTTTATGAGGGTTAAATTGAGCGCTTGTTCGCGGTTGGGGCATCCCGAGCAATGATGGAAATTTTCTTCAAAAAGCAATCCGTTTCAATCCTTTCCATTCTTGATCATTTTCGTTCCTTTTTTGCTTATCCCTATATCATCTTTGGTGTTTATCTATCCTTTAAAACGATTATTTCTAGGCTTTATCCTATTTAACAGCCATTCCATGACTCCAAATGTAGTTCCTAAAGCACGGAGTATCTTGCAACGGTTTCATTGTACAAGTCTAGTTGAAAGGAAGAAATTGCGTTCCAAAGAAACACTGACAACTTCTTGTAACATACTCGAAATCTCTTCTAAGCATCAAATGAAACTGACCCTGGCCCATCTGAGATGGTCGAATATAACTACGAGAATCTTAGAATTTAGATCAATCAGCGAGAATCAGGACAGTAAACTACATCACCTAATTCCTGAAGCCTACAGCCCTCATTATAATTTCAGGCGCCAAAGAACGTACAATGTACCAGCAGCCAAGACAAAGCGTTTTGCTAATTCGTTTTTCGTGAAGTGTGCGGCTGTAACCAACTCAAGTTTGAGATGAATGAGAACCCCTTTTAACAGAACTTTAAGCCATTATATTTATAATTGTACATTAGTAGCTTGTAAATAATTACGCAATTCAGTATTTTACTGCGATGTGATTTAATAATAAACCAGTCTATTATTATTATTATTATTTGAGAATCAGTTTGAACCACTGAAATCTTGATGCAGGAAAGTCTACAACTGGTCGGTAGTAATAAATATGGAAACTTCATGCTTATTCAACCGGCAACTAGATTAAGGGGTAAAGTTAGGCCAGTTATTCCTTTTTTTTGAAAATGATGGTGTACCATTCTCCATTCTTGCCATTCTTTAAGGGAATATAAATGATCAAGCGGCATGTTATAAAACCAAAGACTGTAATAACTTATGAGGCTGCTGTTGGGTTAGAAGTCACTCTGGTTTGTCGTCCAATTGTCTGACTCACGTTTCTTCTTTGTTATATATCTCCAAATTAATTATCCACCAGTTTCAAGCGCTAATTTGTTTTCCATAATCTCTAACCTCCCTCTTCCTGTTTTTCGTAACGGTCTCGTCACTTCGAAATATCAAGGTCTATACTTCTAAAGGTCGTCATTTGCAATCCGCATTCGGTTAATCTACTTCATCTGTCTCAATCTTTGTTGTATTTTTTTTCCTTGTCTCTTTGGTGTTTGTCTGCCATCGTACATTGTGATGTTTTATTTTCGTTTTAATTAAATTTAATTAAATTACATTTAGAGAATTTTAAAAGCTAAAATCAGCCGAAATAAAGTACTTTCTGCGGGAGGGCTATGAGTCGTTTTCGCCGGTGTTTAGATCAAACGGAATCTCAACGATTTAGAATTATGAAACTTCTGAAGTTGCCGAAAAGCAATCCATTTGACAAGTGACTGTTATTTTAGTCTATTTTCTTACCATGACAAAGGCCAAAGACAGTTGTTCTTGTTACGACACTGTCGCGCTTTTTTAAGAAAAATTTACTTTCGATGTGTCTTGTGATAAAATGTTAACATTGGAATTAATCGTTGTACTTATCAATACTTCAACTGACACCAATGAAACACTTACATTTTCCAGTTCACACGGGAACAGGGACATTAGAGGAACAAAAGTCTTAAGCGCTGATTTCTTTCCTCCAGTAGAAATTTACTGACGCTCAAAATGTTTCTGAAGGACAAGAGGAGCAGCCAAAGGACTACGAAAACAGGAAGACTACTAGATAAGCTGGATTTAAGAATAGACTGTCTCTAATTTTGAGAATATTGTCGACATCGTTGTTGCAGCCAGGCCACCCTAAACTGCTTATCGCCTTTAACGCGTCCGGTTGGACATGGGATTTCCGCTGACAATGCAGTTACAATGCGATCTTGAGTCTGGTCACCCGTGTTGTGTATGAGACGCTCGTCCATTTGGTTTGATAAGAGTCACGACTTCCGAACCCTAAACTTTAACTATTTTTTCTTTAACTCAGTTGAGGATTTAACCGTTTCTTGACACCTCCTGCACAGGACGTTTTTTGAGTGTATTATGAAACGCATGGTAAGAAGGGCGCCAATGAATATCAAATCTGGGAGTTTTCTAGGTAAGAATTACATAATAATCAGCGTACTTTAGAAAACCTCGTGTGGGTCGTTATTAGCCACAGTATTTTAATTACATCCTGTGCTAAATCATTGTTTATGTGTACATAAAAAGATAAAAACCTCTTCAAAGTTGTGAGCTCGCCAATTCTGAAAGTGCACGTACATTTTATAAAGGTACGCCCACACTGTCTCACAGAAAATCTCCCTAGGGATGGATAAATGAAGATCGAAGATAAAGTACTTTACTTATTCTTAATTACACAATTATATGTAAAGCAAGTGCAAGTAAGATTGCGTGCTCTTATCTACACCGGGAAAGAAGATAATCCAAACTTTCAATAGTGGTACCAAAATCTTTCATTGGTTGTATTCTTTGAGCTCTAGAGGAAAAACGTCACGACGTTTATCGACGCGTTGACATGTAAAATCACCTTCAGTCTGAAGGGGAATGACGAAATTATAGTTTGATAAGAAGAAAAACACCAGCAAGTAAATCTAAAGGAAAAGGGAAGACTGATGATTGACAAAAATGGAAAAAAGTCAACTGTTTGCTTAACTTTTAAAGATTCCCAAACCGTGACCACCGTGACCTTAACATAAAATTTGGTAGCGACAGACTCTCCTATCTGGAAAGAATATAACGGTCATTCTAACCTAAACACAATGATTTCTAGGGCTTTCTGAAGGGGTTTATAATGTATACGCAATGTACATTGTAAGTGTAAAGTTTGAGCGACCTGCGGTTGTAATTTTTACTTTATGTATAGTATAAAGGATATCAAGGAAATCTGGAAGTCTTCTTTGCGCGTCTTTGCAATGAACGGTTCAGCTTGTTATTATATTTTACCAAATGCAGTTAAGAAATTAAGGTGTAGTAACCCATGAAAAATCACGGGAGGGATAATGATAACCCCGCATGACACGAGACATGCACAAGTTTTGAGCGGATTGTAAATGAATGACATAGATTACCATTCGATGACGTCGCCGTAAAGAAATCGTACCTAGTTTGTATCCACACCGGAAAACATCAGTTCAACATGAAGATAAAAAATTCAAATTTGTTAGAGGACTTCAGGTGGCAGTAACAGATGAAATGTTTGGGATACTGTGTATGTAACGTTCATGAAACTTACGTGGAGACTGACACAGTCTGAACTTAACCGTTTGATGGTTACTTCGTAGCTAAACTTTTTGTCAACCTGAGGTGCCGAACGAAAAATTGGAACACTGCATCATGAAATCTAACTTAAAACAAGTATCAAGTACAAAAAGTTTGTATCAACTGATTGGCTGGTCTGTTGCACAAACCCAAGCGTCTCAGATAACTTAGCCCTGCAGGCCGGTTGTGAGGTTGTCGTTCCGAATGAGGGAGAAGTAACAGGGACAATCCCATCAGAAGCACGCCCGTAGTTTCCATTAGCAACAGAAATAGATCATGTCAAGTTTGTAAGCAGTGGCGGCTGAATAAAATGGTCTAACCTGAGTTAACTCTGCTCTACCAGTCACTACACCAACTTCTCTTTTACTCGATTCGCTCAGGAGCTGATTTGAGCAGCGGTCTGGATGCGATGGAAGCCTGGCGCTAATTCTCGTCTGGGTTTTTATACTCGCGGGGCAAGCGTAGGGTGCTAATCGGTTATTATCGATTAGCGACGTGTTAATACAGTACACGACAGCCACGCACGGAAGGCATGTTTTAATTTCATTGTTTTACAAAGTCTATTATTTCTTGCACGCGAGGTCTCCAACGTCGCTCCATTACGTTGGACGTAGCGTGTGATCAACAGTCGATTTTCCAATAAGTAATGAGATAAATACTGTTAATAATAATTTAGTCAGCTAACTGATGAAGGACAAGAGCCACTTTTCCTAGAAATTCTAGTAATGCATGGTTAAAAGTTGATATCCAGGATATGTTTTTGGAGCTCAAGTGATTGACCCATATTAATGATGTTTATTTGTGTAAGATCCTTTCTTTCTCAGATGAGCCACACTCGATTTCTACACTAGTGCTATCTATTCTCACTATAAAGCGGTCTCTCTTTTACGCCTACCCATCTGTTTTCCCTATTATTTTCTTAAAATGTTTTTCTCTATTTTCTAGCAAGTTGTCTGGTTACGTTTCAAAGGCAAAGCTTTAAGATCTATTTATTAACACAGTTGTAATTAAAAAAACCTAGCGGCCATTGTCTCAAAGATCACACATGAAGAACTTTTAAAAATAACTTTGACGAACAAGTTGAAAAATTAAGAATTCTCCACAACTATAAATAAAAAACAATGCTTGCTTTTTTGGTAGATCTATATGGTTTGTTAGCGGACACTAAAACCCCTTGTGCTACAATAATCTAGCAAAATCATTTCCTGTCTGGAGAATATTTATGCTTAAATCCACAGTTGAAGGATAATCGTAGTTAAATTCATAAAAAATTGAAGAAAATCAGCAAAATGGGTTTACTTGGTAGTCTGAGCTCAAACATAACAGCTTTTATTCAAGATATAACAGGGTTACCCAGAGAACAGTGGAACTGCTTGGAAACAAACTGTCACATGAAGTTGACCTGATTAGTCAGCGTATGTTATGGCAAATGGAATCCCGATCCAGTTCGAGATAAATTATTTATAATTACTTTATAACCGTGAACGCAATGCCGGATCAGCTTTAGATTATTTTGTCCAATCTAGCCCTAACTGAGGCGAACAAACTAGAGACTATGCTGCTTTTTTTCTTTTTTTTGCTTTTTTTCTGCG